CCAAAAAGCCTAAATACATTTTGAACATGATGCCTGTTGTTTTATAATGTTTATTTTGTTTTGTTTACATGGTTTTGCATTATAAAGTTAATTTAAACTTCTTTTTTGCTTAAAAAGTGTGCTTGCGCTGTCTTTCTTTAAAATAAACGGGACTTGGTTTGATATTCAGTTATCTAATGCTATGACATTCATGCATTTTAAGTTTGACATTAGGTGTTTCTTTTTGGGGCCACTGTATGATGAGTCAAACTGTGTTTTCTAAAGGAATTATTAATATGGTTCATATTCTGACCAAAATCTATGTGTATATGTCTGATGTTGAGAGGTTCTGGCTCTTACATCCTGTTTGTGTGTATTTCAGGTTTGTGCTGAAAGGATCTGTGTGCTGGAAAAACGAACAGCATCACCTGCTGAAATCATCAACCAATATGGAGCACTTGATGGTGCACATCTGGCTGCGGAGATGCACACTGGATCTGCCTGAGTGTGTGGTGCATGTTTGTTTTTGAGCGCTAGAGTGAGATTGTGTCAAAGCAGAGAGTGTCATTGAGCTGCTGACAGAGATTTATCAGTGTGAACGTGTGTGTGCTGTTAAGAAGGGACCATGTGGCACACACAGTCAGCAACTTACCTGCTGCTTACCCACCTGCTCTGCCGACCTTTGAACTTTGCTCTGTGTTGGCTGCTTGTGTGGTTGATGTGGTCAGTCTCCATGGCAACAGCACTGACCTACCAGCCCACAGTAAACACAGCACTTGGCAGGCTAAGGGGGATGCGGGTTGCTGTGGCAACGGAGGGTCTAGGCCCTGTGGATCAGTACCTGGGTGTGCCTTACGCTGCCCCACCTGTAGGAGAGAAGCGCTTCATGCCACCCGATGCTCCATCGGCCTGGTCCGGTGTACGGAACGCCACCCGCTTCTCTCCTGTCTGCCCGCAGACTGTTCGCAATGCAGTGCCCGACATCATGATGCCTGTCTGGGCCACCTACAACCTTGACACGGTCGCTACGTACCTGCAGGAGCAGAGTGAGGACTGTCTGTACCTGAATATATACGTACCCACACAAAGCGGTGAGTACACATGCAAAATGTACACACACATTCCTTCATTCGTATACAGAACACCACTGGTTTGGTTCTTGGTTCCTCCAATGGTTTCTCCCTCATCTACGTACTGTAAATATGCTAAGGAGTTTTTACTCACCACTTGAGGGTTTGTAGGGCACTATTTTTGCTTTTCTTTTCCATTTATGTGCTTTGTTTTCCTTTGAGGCAATGTGTTCATTCAGACGGTTCATGTTACTTAACATATGTTTTTTTTAAATCACCAATTCCTATGTTGCATTTTAGATCTTCTTTTTATTGCA